AAAAAGTGAAATACATGTACATGTATTTCTTGAGAAGTTCTATGCTTTTTTCTACAAAACTTTTTCTCAATTTTTAACCAATTACATGTATGTGCCATTTTTTAATTTTAAAAGGATTAGAGAATGAAGGAGAAAGATAATACTGTACGAGAAGACTAAGTATAGTCGCCCAAAGTCAGTGACGTCGTGCCAATGTCCATGAAAAAACGTCCACTATACTTCATACCTAATGATGAAGGAAACATATGGGGTGTTTATCTTTCAGTTGATTCGGTACGCAAGAGCATGCTCTACGCATGAACAATTTTTAAAACGAGTTAAGTTATTGACAAACAAGTTGATGAAACAAGAATATCAATAGTCTCGTTTAAAGTCATCATTTCGTAAGTTCTATGGTCGATCCGATGACCTTGTCAGCAAATACAGTCTATCATTAAGTCGTATGTTGACTGACGTTTTTCATACTAATTACTAGGCGATTATGTACACATTGAATTGTCGACGTATTTTTCCGATATTTACCGATCATGACAAAGAGCACACGGCGGGTGTGACCGATCGGCAGGGGATGCTCACTCCTCCATGGTACCTGATCCCGCGTCTGATGTTTTTGGAGGTCAGTGTTTGCTCTGCTCCCAATTTGTATTGTTTTAATGGACTCTGAGCTTAAATACTGTTCTTTATCTACATATACATGGCTATAGAATTTTGTAACGGAATGTACTTTTCATGACAACGAGATATGAAATTTTATCGTTTCAAATTGACATTGCCACAAGTATGTTGTTATGATTAAATCTTTTCAATATTTTCAAATCAATATTTTTCAAAGTCGAAAAAACAATAAAAGTTATGAAATAAAAGAAGGGGCCTTAATAATTTCAAAACACCTTACTACTATTCAGAATATTTGTTTAAAATTTGTTTAAATAAGGTGTTATAACACTTTATATGTTGACAAGACACTTAATAATGAGACAGTGTACAAGTTATAACACAACAAGTGTAGAGATCTATACGCTTCCATAAGTGGGTTTACATTTAAAACTTAAAAAAAAAACAAGATGTGTTTGTGAAACACTGATGCCCCCGTATGGCAACTTATAGCAAAGGCTAAACTTTCTCAAATGCAAACCAAATATGTTGGTACCCAAAGTAAGGTCTTGTCTCGAGGAATATACCTGTGAAATATGAGAGCCCTAGCAGCAACCATTGAAAAGATATGGAAAAGGTTAAAGTTTTTCAAAAGTAAGTCAAACATCAAGGTCAAGATCAAATGGTAAAAAATAATGGTGCCTAAGGAAAGGCCTTCTCACAAGAAATATACTGATGAATATGAAGGCTGAAGCACCAATCGTTCAAAGGTTATTACCAAGGTTTAAGTCTTCCAAAAGTACGTCAAACTCCAAGGTCAAGGTCAATGGATTACAGTTGTTGGTATTCAAAGGAAGGTCTTGTCACAAGGATTACATATGTGAAGTATGAAAGCCCTAGCACCAACGGTTCAAAAGATATGGCCAAGGTTAAAGTTTTCCAAAGGTAGGTCAAACTCCAAGGTCAAGGTCAAAGGGTCAAAGTTGTTGGTTTCCAAAGGAAGGTCTTATCAAAAGAATTACACATGTGAAGTATGAAAGCCCTAACTCCAACTGTTCAAAAGTTATGGCCAAGGTTAAAGTTTGGTAAAATTATGTAAAACTAGGTCAAACTCCAAGGTCAAGGTCAAAATGTCAAATATGGAGGTACTCAAAGAAAGGTCTTGTCACAAGGAATACACATGTGAAATATGAAAGCCATAGCTCCAACCAATCAAAAGTTATGGGCAATGTTAAAGTTTTTGCAGACAAACAACTTTGACCCTTTGACCTTGACCTCAGAGATTGACCTACTTTTGAAAAACTTTAATCTTGGCCATAACTATTGAACCGTTGGTGCTAGGGCTTTCATAATTCATATATGTAATCCTTGTGACAAGACCTTCCTTTGGGTACCAACAATTGTAATCCATTGACCTGGACCTTGGAGTTTGACCTACTTTTGAAAAATCATAACTTTTGAACGATTGGTGCTTCAGCTTTCATATTTCACCAGTATATTTCTTGTGAGAAGGCCTTTCCTTAGGCACCAATTTTGACCATTTGACCTTGACTTTTCCATATCTATTCAATGGTTGCTGCTAGGGCTCTCATATTTCACAGGTATATTCCTCGAGACAAGACCTTACTTTGGGTACCAACATATTTGGTTTGCATTTGAGAAAGTTTAACCTTTGCTTTAAGTTGCCATACGGGGGCATCAGTGTTTCACAAACACATATTGTTTCTTATCCTTTAAAAGATTAAATCTTAGTATAAAACATTCATAAATATAGAATTCATTTTTATTCTGAACCACAGTTTTTAATTCATATTTTTTTAAATTAAATTATTCATCAAATTAATTTAAAAATTTGATACAAAGATTCAAATTTCAAAGTACTGGTCCCTAATTTGGTCCAATGTTTAAGGAGGGACTCTTCTCATATTTCTTGTATTTAAAAATCAATAAAATTTTCATAGATTCAAGAAGACATTATCACTAAATGATGGTATCAATTCGATTAAATTTGACCGTTTTATTTTAGAATCAAGGTTAGGTGAAGTTCATTATCCTTTTCTTGACATTAAGAATAAAAATTACTGTTGCCAATCATGCCAACTTCTATTTCAAAAGATTAAATGTTTTTCTTTTTGCATAAAAAGATATCACCATATAGGGTCTATCAGACGATACTACCTTTGACATAAATAATTTAACTGATATAGATATTGGCCATTCTGAATTTCCTCTATTTTTCTTAAATTTTTAGTATATATTAGTTATTTTTATATGCTTCGTATATTTAATTTTTCTTATTTTCACATATGGTAAAGTAGTCATATAAAGATACAAATTGATACAAAAACAGAAAGTTATGAACGTTTACTAAAAGAGAAAAAACACTTTTTACGAATTTTTTGGTCAAATCTGTACTTAGTTTGGAAGCTCTAAAAAGCTAACAAAATTGTAGTTTGTTTGGAAAATCATATTTATTTGATATATTTTAAAACTTCTATTAATTTTACTTTATATTTAAAAATTTCTTTAAGTCTTTGATTGTTTAAAAAATTTTAACTAAATTCATTGTTCTATAGTAATTTGAGAAGCAGAAAAAGAGATATTTTCATACGCCGCCGTTCCGCCAAAAATATAGTCCCTGCTTAATTTCAAACTCAGTTTATCATTTCTATCTTAAGATGTACAGTTATGATAAGGAGAGAAAAAATATGATCTTTTAAATCCCTTACATCTTTATTTATATAAGACATATAACCAAATACACTTTGAATATTTCATCTAGTCAGAAACCAGACAAGAATCCCTACTTATTAAGAGTAGAAAATTTAGAACATCTTTGGGAATCTTTAAAATAGCTAAAGAAATATACAACCGTCCTTGTCTATTATAAGTATGGTGCGCCAAATTAACAAAAGCGCAATTTTTGAAGATATCTTCATTCATTTGATATCCACGACAACTTAATTAAAGATCTCTCTAGGATATCTTCAATAATGAATTCCTCCGTCAAATCCATTAATTCATCTGTTGAAAGCATCAATTTGCAAAATTGATGCGCAAAATAATTGAACTGCTGCGCTCTTCAAATGATATCAAGTGATAACGAATATTGATCGATCTCATAAAAACCTACAAACAATATAAATCTGTGAACAGGGCATAAAATTATATGTGGGATCAGATACCTAGAAGAAGTAAGCATGCCCTGTCGACCTGTCACACCCACCGTGAACCTTGAGCTGATCTCCGCAATAATTCAATTGAATAGAGCAAATATTTAATTAAACAATCCCATTATTGTACGTTATTGTGTGCAATAATTGTTTTAATGATAGTTTCGGATAATGAAAGATTTTTTTCAATTATTTGAATTAATTTTAATTTCATATTTATGTTAATTTGAATTCCATAGACTATATATAGTGTATACGGTCCAGTGTGTGTCAATGAAGTCGGGAGGTCTTTTAAAGAGCACAAATTCCCCCATAACAAAGAATCCCCTAAGGAATATAGCATATTCTACCTGATGTGGAGTTCTGTTATAAAGCAATTAAGATTCCGCATAGCAGGCCTTCTTACCTTTATTAACGTCATCGATTCTAATCTTATATGTGCATTTAAAGGGACATAATGAAGATTTCATCTGATTATTTCATTTTTTTTTTTAGATATTTGATATTCCCAACAGTCAAATCTGAATGTCAATTAATATCTTACAATTCGATGTTATGTAAGCAAGAGGTGTTGCCTATTTCTGTTTACAAACTGATTAAAACACTGTAAACAAATATTTATAAATAAGTTATAAAAAATAATTCTTGTAACGAAATTTAAAAATGAAATAATTATTATCTGGAAATTTTTTTTGTAGGTGGGTGGGTGTTCTACTAAATCGCAAACATGCCGGAGGGGACTAAAGAGGGGAATAGAAACTTTAGAATATACAATCATTTCAATGGGGGGGGGGGGGATTTGCAATGAAGCATTTTTCCGTATGATGATGATTTGCTATATTAAAAATAAGACCAGAGAAGTTTTGCTATATAGCAAATATACCCCTGGGGACTCTGTACATGGGGGTCTTTGCTACAGAACATCCGGATGTAAACTCCAAAACAATTTATATTGCACTGTACACATACTGTAGTGTATAATTTTGTAGATTTCTTAAATCGATTACATTAGGGGGAGGGGGTGTAAAGATGATACTATTTTATTCTAACAAAATGCAGAATACAAGATAGTTTGTTTCCTTCCCTGAAAATCAGATGAAGTTACATCTGTCACATGATAAATGGACTAAAAGTGCAAACCACTTATTTTAATAAAACTCTACTAACAGAACATTTATTTGTATAGAACAAAATAAGATTGAAAGTCAAAAAAAAATCTTTTTTAATCGCTCATCAGTGGTAAAATTCACCAATAAGTCTTCATTTTAATAGAAAACGTCAATACGCTGACTACTACTTTAGTTGCTTTATATAGAAAAGTCCAGCTTGAAGTTTGAAATGGTTCAAGACGGCTGTCCTTCTTGGCTCTTTTTTAAATAGGATATCAGACCACTTTTTTTTTTACTGTGGTCATAAAGAGTACCAAATGTAGTCCCTCGGCATCTTGATCTCTATGTACTTGACACTTGTCTATCTTTATTACACTTCAAAGAGAAATTTCTTTGACGTCATTCAGTGTACCAAGGTATTCTGTTCCCTCGTGAACTGCTTAGAGACTCTATATGGATAACCCTGTACAATGCTGCTAGAGCGATTATCTGTAGAAAATCGCACAACAGTCTCATCCCAAAATCGGTTTCTCGGTCTGCGACCAAAACACATAAACCCTAGCGCAATGATGAATGCCTTCCTAAAATTCTTGGACATGAACCCGTAGACAATAGGGTTGACACAGCTATTAAAGTACGATAAAACATAAAACGCTTGACGGACATGCTTCAACGTTCCCATGTGCAAGTTGTCTAAGATGTCAAAGGATACTAAGAGATTGTTGGTCGTTATGGGTCCCCATGATATCATGAAGAGGAGGATTATAGTTACAAGCATCTTCACGACCTAGATGTAAAATAAAAATAAAAGTCAAGTAATCTGATCTCAGTACTTCAATTAATTCCAAAGTTATGGTATGTTATGTCTCAATATTTTTTAACTAATGAGCACAATGGGATCTTAAGATTTTTTTATAGTTGAAAATTTAAAGGAGTGTAAATCTTTATGACTTCATGTTTATCGAAATGATTTGCAACGAGGGTAGTTCAATGAATAATGCAATATGTCATCTAAAGGTAAGAAAGGTACGTAATACGTATTCTAAACATTTTCAATCCCTCAAAGCATTCCCTGTTATCCACATTGCTTAGGTCGTTGTACCTCATCATACTCATCTTTAGGGATGCACCAAAGACACTAATGAATATCATTTCCCATGACATATCTAATATTGTACAATCTTTTTTCGATTGTTTTTGTGCGTTTTTGGAATAAAAGGATCTCACAAAGGCTGAGATCTAGCGAACATAGGGGATGGCAAAGCTCTGTAACCCTTCTTTTTTCAGAATTTCATTTATTTTTCTGTGCTAATTTGCAGCAGCGTTGCCACGTGCAAGAAAATTACCCTGGGGCGGTATTTGGACTTTCTTTGCAGGAAGTCTGTTTACCTTTCCTCAGTGCAATTTGAACATAAAAGTTACCATTAATGGTTCTTCCTTTGAGTGTATCTACATGTTTTACTGGACCTCTTGAAAAAAAAAATGAAAACTAATAAAACATGCTTGGAGCCCTTGTTTCTCTTTACAATAATATTAACGATAGCTTTTTCTTGATTCCACATTTTATTATTGATCTTCCTTTTTGTCTATAAAAAATGCAACCATGTTTTGTCATTCATCACGCAAATTTACAAATCTTCTGTTTTTTAAAATATTTGTTTTTAATTAGACCGTTGGCACATTTAATGTGTGTTTTCTCTTAGGAAATTTTTAGAAAATAAGGTACTTATCTGATAGAAATATAATTATATTCATTCTGTTATCAGAATTCTATAAAATGCTGTGATGATGAAATGCTTAGTGTCTTAGCAAAGTCTTTCGATGTAAATCTGACATTTTCAGATATCATGTTGCACATAGCATCGATAATTTTTGGTGTCCCTACAAATCTCAATCGACCAATTTGACTGTTATATTTTAAATCTCCTTTTTTTACTTTTTAATTTCTGAATCAATCTGAAAACTATACAGCATTAAAAACTATTCCTTCCACATATAAAAATCATATCTTTAATATGAGTTCTTCGGCGATTTATGTAAAGAAGCACAGTTTTCACATACGCTTCCATTTTCATCTTCTTGGTAGAGATCATTTTAAACAGTTTCAGCTCAGTGTAGCGACCATGCTTACTTTAAAAGTGAATTTCTTTGCAAGGATAATAGGAAAATTCTTGGGGTTTTCTGTAATTAGGAGCTCTTCAATTGAACGTTTCAACTGTGACAAAATAAAATTAGACAATCTACATTTACCATGATATACTGTTTGTTGCATTATTTATTGAACGACCCTCATATTCGTATATCATTCAATATACTGATATCTTGGTTAAGAAGATCTCGTGGATCTTACGAATAAGACCAAAATCTTCATATTTTCCAACAAGTATATAAGATAATATATTAATATATTAGATAAAAATATTATATTTCTATAACATTAAGATAGAGTGTAAATAAACTTTTCCAAAAATGATATCTTTATTAACAAAGAAGTTACAGAATTGTTTTTTTTTTATATTAGTCTTTTTGCAATTATAGTGGACATGATCGACTTTTTAAAGACTCCCTCCACGTGCAGACTACACTGTACCTGCTTCCTGGTATTATTGTCATCGCCATTAGTCCCTCTTTGGTTGATGATTTTTTTGTCCCGTCTTGATAACACTCGTCGAAGTTGGACAACCTCTTGTTTGTCTCTGAAAGTGCTAAATGTGTGAATTATAATGCTCCTGCGGATTTTAATCTTCATAATATTTTAGAAATTTAATGATTCCGACAGCATTTTTTAAAATAAAATTAATTTTACTACAAAGTATATGAAGAATCTCTAAACTACTATTTTGTAGATGCATTTCAATGTTTTAAATTGTAAAATAAATGCTCACACATGTGCAAATATGTGCAGTCTTTAAAAATATATATAAATAAAAAATATAGTGTACCCTAAATTGCGGTCACGTTTGTCCATTTTCCATAGTTTTCTGCAGATGCTAGTGTAAGCGTAGCTGACAATTAGGAAAGGAACCAACAGGATGATCATGAACATGTAGGTACCATATAGCCTCTGTACAAGGGAATTGTTCCACTCCAAGATGCACCAATGGGCATTCCGGTATGTGCCTACCGTCTTGTGAGTCTAATAAAACCATGACAGGAATATTACATAGATATTGCATGCTAGCGAAATTTGCCACAGTCAGCAATGTTTTGTTTGGGTGAAATTTCCAATGTTGTATACGCAAGTTTACAATACATTTTTTTTTAAATACAGAATGAATAAACATTATCACAGTATGTATATGTATCAAAATGAGACAAAAAATTTATTTATTTCTTTATCTAATCATATGTCAACTTTTCAGTAAATACCACAATATACTGTGTTTATGAATATGCATGTAATAGTGGGTAGCAATAACACTTTTCAACCCAGGAAAAATATTGATAACAGAGCTGTAGCCATGGTTGATTACGGTTTCCGAGAGATGAAAATTTTCAATGTTACCCTCAACTAAATGCATTATTGAAATAATACTGAATGTTCTGTACAAATATGTGAACAATGGACCGTGCGCGCATAAATTCTGCGCAGTCAACATTTTTTGGAATATCACCCGTTGTCAAGTAATGTTGACTGTTGCTACATTCTATTACGCTGGAGAGTGTGGTTTCATCGTTTAGTGGGTAGTTGATGTTTTTTATCGACGAATCAAGATTCAACTAATTTTTTGTACTACTTGCCTATATTTTCAGCTTGTCATTCTCAAATAAAATATGGTTTTAAAAAAACTAATTTACATAAAATTATATTATTACAAACCATCAAGGCAAGTCGTATGCGCATATATTCTGCTCAGTCAACGATTTTTAATACCACCCGTCGTCAAGAAATGATGATAGTTACTATGTTCTGCCACTCATGAAGGCGTGTTTTAATTCTTTTGTATTAACTATTTCTTGACCTATCAGATTAAACAATTTTACAAGAATATTTTCTTTATTTATTATATTTTTAGGTATATAATTCGAATTTAATTGGTCGATACAGGTTTGAAAAACAACTTTTTATCATCTGAGAACAGAAACCAATTCCTTCAGGATGATATAATCTTGCAATGAGAAACATCAATTGACAAAGTTTTTTTTTTTTTCAAGAAATATCACATGCAACAAATGAATGCGCATACAATTCATTGAAAAAAAAATCACTTTTCATTGTAAAATGTCCAATATAACTTCTTTTTTTTTAAAAAAATTGAACTGTGTCTTCATTTTCACATATTTTATATTCTTTGACATCATAATGAAACAAGCTGAGGGTAGTATTGAGAATTTTCATTCTAAGAAAACCATTATCAATCTCAATTACACCTCAGTTTTTTAATGGATGAAAATTTTCAAAGCTAATTTTCAACTACATGCTATACTTAAAAAAAATTCACAGCAAAAAGATGCTGTGCTCCAAAGCGAAATCTTCGTAAGAAGAGTGAAGAGAGTAATGGTTCTTTGTCCAACGCTAAGAATCGTTCTTTTGTCCTTTATTTTTTTCCATTAAGAATGTAAACAGAATATAAAAGTAATTCTCTTAAGTAAATTGCTAAAATAAATGAATTTTGTTATATAACTAATCTATATATTTTACCTGGCCTGCCAGAGTTGGTGTTGCCATTATGATGCTCAGAATCCAAATGCAGAGGACACTTCGTCTGGCTAAGCTTATTGTACAAACATACTTAGACTTTATTGGATGCAGAATAGCATAATATCTGAAAAGGTAAATACCGGTATTTAAGTCATGTACAAAGACATCTGTGAAAATTTACGAAGTCAATCAGTGCTGTTACACTCCGTTGGTCAATAAAATGACTTACAGAGTTGACATAGCATCTGACAAGTAAACAGAATTTTCTGAGAAGTTGACATAAGATTACGCAAGTCGATATCATTATAGGACAAGTCGATATAACATCCGGCAAGTCGACTTTAGCTTATCATATCGACTTGTCAGATAATTACGACGACTTGTCTGAATGTCAAGTTGTTGACTTGAAGGAAAATTAAGATGATTTGTCAAAAAATAATGTCGATATGTCAGATAATTATGCTTACTTTTTGGTCATATATATCAATTTGTCAGATATAGTGATGACAACTGACAGTAAGTACCATAAGTTATTTTTTTATAACAATATTATGAGTTCCTAGTGCTGATGATTATTATCTATTAAGTCGATATAAAGATCTGACAGTTGACATATAAACATCTGACAAGTCGACATATTGGGGATCTGACAAGTCGACTTCTGAAACATCTGACAAGTAGTGAGAGAAATTTGCCACCATGATAATTTCCTTAAGGATATTAAATTGCTGCTGGAAGTGTAAGGTGAGAAAGCAAGGTCAATTAGAACGTGACCAAAATTTGTGACATTCTGTTTTCTTGTTTCATAATGAATGGCTTACCAAACTTGAAATATTAGGTTTTTGTTTGTTTGTTTGTTTGTTTATTGTTTAACGTCCCTCTCGAGAATTTTTCATTCATATAGAGACGCCACCACTTCCCGGTGCAGAGCTACAAATTTTGACCTATACTCGGCACTCTGGGCCATTGAGCAGTGCGGGATCTTTTTCGTGCCAGCACCTACTGCGACATGGGACCTCGGTTTATACGGTCTCATCCGAAGGACCGGTCTTCATGTCCCACAGTGGAATTCGAACCCGCGACATAAGGATCAACTCCTTACTCTTCGACTCTAGAACGAACGCTCTAACCACTGCGCCACGCGGGCGACTGAAATATTAGGTAGAGAACTGGCTCCAGGATCATGAAACAGACTTAGACTTAAGTCAAATTTTCAGTCGCCTATAAAATATTAAATAATTATTAAATTGATCTCTATATTTCCAAATAACAACACTTTTGTAAAGCAATATACATGTAGTAAAACTATTTAAATTTTTGTGTGGTTGTTCTCTGGAAAATTTTAGTACAGCCTGTCTTGAATTTCGAACGTGTAGTCTTGTAACCTAATTTTATATATTTCAGTAATTTTAAAGTTCTTTTGATATGCAATTTACAGTTACATTTTTGTTTGAGATTAGTTTAAATCAATATAACATCAAATGTGATGGAAATAATGTATAAAAATTCTGGGTGTCTAAGAACGATACTAATAATACCAATCAACCTTAACATTGCTTTTTAATAGCAGTTACGTGAAGTGCAGCTTGAAAGACTTGGTGGAAGGAGGGGAGGTCTTATGAATATTTTAACGGGGCACGTTGAATTGTTACGGCAATCAATATATAATTGTTAAAGATAAGAAAACCACAGATGATGTATTTTTCTCCCTGATTTTCATTTCGAAATATTAATATTATCAAAGAAAGTCGTAATGAACTGTACAAAATATGATGAACGATGCAGGTGTAATCAGTTATTAAATGACAGGCCTAGATCCTTTGTTTCGGCCTTTTTCTCCGGTTAGCTAATAACAATTTTTTTATGAAAATGTTTAGGTGATTTATTTTCATCTAAATAATACGGAAGCGTAAAGGTCTCTATACTTGTTGTGCTATAATTTGTACATTGTCTTATCTAAATATAAAGTGTTATAACTCTTTATTTATACAAATATTTTGAATTGTAAAAAGGTTTTTTTTTTCATAATTTAAGGTACCTTCTTTTATTTGATTGATTTTATTGCTGTAAGTTATATCGACTTAAAAAAAAAATTTGATTTTTAGATATTGATCGAGGCGAGATATTTAATATACATGATATTAGATCTGAAATGCAGACAGTTACATTTTATCTGATATTCATTCAATCATGATTCACTGCTTATACTTTTTTGAGTTCGGGGGTGGGGTGTGGGGTTCAATACTGTTGAGGTTCACGTGTATGTGGTAGATCATATGTTTACCACAAGATCAAAAGAGTCACTTTTGTAATATTGTTACTTTCGATTCATTCAAGAATAGGACTAGTACTAAATGTATTTATGAATGGAACACTGATTGAAACTATGGGGAAGGGGGCACATGTCGTTAATTATCTTACTCATAACAATATTTATTATGCATACTTTGCAAGTACATAATTTTTATTTCGGAGAGAGATTGATGATTTTATTAATAAAAGAAATTATACTAGACTTGCATATATTTAATTTCTTATTAATTAGAATGATGAAAATTAATATTTGCTTCATTCGGGACAATCTAACTGATCATGCTCCCCCACCCCTTCACCACCTTCTTCAATAAGTTTTTCTCCATTATTATATGACAAATATTTGACACTTTACACATTGTATATATGACGTCATTAAATCCTAGTAATATGACGTTTCATTAAAATTCCCGCGCCCGAGTAGTTAATTCGAGAACAATATTTTCCATTAGAAATACTAGCATATTTATATCGATTTAACTATTATACATATATTTTCATTGTTGTCTAAAGAGATATCTTCATCGAAATCTTTAAATCAAAATCAATATTTTTCAAATCAATATTTTGTTAAGTCAATATAACTTTAAGCAATAAAATCTATCAACCATTAAAAGACGCGTTATATTAAGTGAAAATACCCTGATACAATACAACAAATAAATGAAAATAAGAAGTCATCACAGATTACATGTTGATAAGACAATAAAAAGTAAGATAATGTACAAAAATATAACACAACAAATGTAGAGACCTTTACGCTTCCGTAAAATAATTACTTTATAATACTCCTAATAAGTCATAAAATATCAGACTCTTGGAATGCGCTTCTTGAAATGAAATTACTCACAAATGGTTATACGCGAACATAGGAGAATATCACCTAATGATATTTTTCAATTTTAGAAAGCAAAGTTGATTGACTTCAAAACTTCGACCTTGGCAGAACAATGTTTTGATGGCATATCGATAGAAGAACAAAATTTGTGACGAATTACCATAATGAAGCTATTTATATCATCCTGTTGAGAAACGCATTAGGATACAGTAAAGTAATAGTCGTTTTTATTAACTCAAAGTTTGCAATAAAAGAAGACAGGAAATTGCATAATTGATGCGTGGAGTGTGATTTGCCAACAACATATAAACACCCATTTGGTTTGTTATTTCTTACAGTATGTGCATCTTCGGTTTGGTTAAAATACTCGAACTTTATTTTTACAGAGGTGGGAATATTGATCTTGAAGGAAAGAGAGAAAAGGTGTCTTTTTTACTGTTTACACTCATATCGATTCATCTTATTTATTGTTAACTCAGTTTTCTATTTCAATTTGAACGATTTTTAAGTAATACTGTAATTACGTGGTTTTTTAAATAACGAAATATCTTTTGTCGTTGGAAACTGCAATGTAGGCATAACTCAAGATTCTTATTGTAGTTTACAGTAATTTAACTAAGAACACGTATTGAATCATTGCAAAGTAGTGTGTGCGCGTGTTGATACAAAATATTGAATGAATTGTACCGGGTGCATAGTTATATTCTCCATTGATTTGTGACTTGATGTTGCTTCCGTTCTCGCCTGTTTTTCTGTGTTTGATGGGTTCTTCATCAGTATGAATATGTATAATACCATATATATATATATATATATATATATATATATATATATATATATATATATATATATATATATATATATATATATATATATATGGTATCATGCATATTATCTTGGAAAGAATCCAAACACTTGTGCGTAACCCAATTCTGAATTCTCATTCAAAACAAAAATTGTACTTTTAAAATATACTGCATTATGTGATGGGATTTACTTCTTTTACACACAAAGTAGAAATTAATATTCACTTAAGACTTTCTAAAAATGTTTCATTTAAAGTTGATTTAGACTTTCACTGGTCGATGTGCTGAAGTGATTGTTAATTTTACAATAAAAAAAACAATATTTACCTTTCTAGGCTCAATCCTGTCAGTGTCATAACGGAGCAGATTATAGACAAATTCTGAAGATAGTTCACAAACTTGCAAAGAAACTCTCCAAGTCTCCAGGAATAAGTAAAGAAAGCTATGCACTGAAAAAAAAAGAGAATTCAAAAGCAAATTCAGATGCTTTGTACGAGATTCAATCTGGAGCTACATGTATATTATTGTTTTAACAATAAAATCCTCTCTTTGTTATCCTGTATGTTATACGGGATAAAACGATTGAAACATTGCAGAAAAAATTAATAACCCATGTTACATGTAGCAGGTTATGTTTAAAAAATCTGCAATGATTGCAATCATTATATGTACTCCGTATAACACAGCAAAGAAAGGCATTTTATTATGTATTTTATGTCTTTCGTTAAATCATTCACATGCGGTATGTTTTTTAATACCTATTATAATATATTATAATATATCATAATGATTCTATCAAACGCGTCACCTAATTGGTCTAGATTCTCATGTGACTGAGAAACTTAAAAATCGAGCATATCCTGGATGAAATATTATCCTTGGTCGCGAATATCTAGAAGAAGTAAAATGCTACCGTGTCCGCCCTTAGTGGGTTCCACAGTTAAAAGTATCCTATTTACTGAAGGGAAGAGACTCCAAGTACACTTACAAAAGTACAAAACCTGCAGAAAAGAGATTTAGATACTTTTTTTTCAACTGAGGCAAATTGGAGAGCGGTGTCAAATTTGAGTTTTATTCAGACAAGAAAAATCATATTTCACTCGACCGAAGTCCTAGGGAAATACAATTTTTCTTGGCTGAATAAAACTTCATATTTCCCTCATGATCATAAAATAACTGTAAAATATTTATCTGCACGTTGCATAGATGGTAAACCCATGAAACAGATGGCCTTTGATACTTCTTTAATATTTGGATTTATAGACGGTTTTGAAAAAAAAGTCTAACTAGTTTAGAAGTCAATTATCATTATTGCTAAAAAATAATAATATTATTATAAGATTAAAAAACAGCAATGAAGTTTTCATAAAAAAAATAAAAGCAAAAAATATTCAGTTGATGTAGATGTAAAATCATTATATCAGGTCAAACATATTTGGGAATACTCGAAATGGTCTAATATAATTTATTGGCTATAAAATACATAAGGAGGTTTGGTGGTGTGATTTCTCATATGCCAGTTCTTATTTTCATTCAATGGATCAAGTTGTTTAAATGAATTATGTACAAAACAAATCAATGACATCTAATTTTGAGAAACACTAGGATTCTTCAAAACCAGCAAGCTTCAGGCTTGAATAGTATGGTGATAATTGATAATGCCCAACATAAGTTTTTTAAACCACCACACTTTATGAGATAATAATCCTGAAGTAGTTCACTGGTTTCTTAAACTGAAATTTGCAAAAAAGGAATTGAAGCCGTAAACATTAGTTATATTCTTAATAACAAGAAGGTCTAGTCTTGGATTCCAGATCATGTCAAGTTGAAGTCCGCAAAAGCCCCTCTACAATGCCTTGATATCGACCATTTGATACAAAATTCTCCAATATGTGCATGTTCTTCTTTTTCAACCATTGTCCTGCTGGGCACGTTATTACTGGTGATGTGAATACAACAGTCGCCCATATATTGGGTCCAAAATTAATGGACCCTCGTTATTACAATTGGCGACAAAATCTCATAAGTATTATGAATTTTGTCAATGATTATGCTAGACGATGGGTCAAAAAATGGAGGAGAATATTTTGACATTGTCCGACTGGGTAAAGAGTACAATATGGGTATTGAAATTTTGTATTAAAATGTTGAGTAGTAAAATGAGCATAATCTATCCTTCTGTCCTCAGTAATTCAGAAGTGACTTAAGAATTAAAAAGATCACATAATCAGTATGCCGCTGATTCAAGCTGAAAAAGCATTCAACAACATATTCTTTGTTTGTAAGGCTAATTATTACAATTGTGTATTGGAAGACCAGGTTTTAATTCTATCAGTGGTAATCGTTACTAGTAGTTACCTTTCAAGGGAAAATTCGCTAAAATCACGTTAGTTTAAATATTTTTAATATTCCCAACAACCAAATTAAATTTGAATTCCCAATCCTGTACTGGATTCCAAAACTTCATAAAAATCCTTACAAACAAAGAAACACAGCGGAATCTAGTAAATGTTCATCCAAGTCTCTTTCTTTACTCCTCAAGAAAATATTCACAACAGTGAATGAGAAACTTGTGCAGTGCTGCAAAAAAGCGTATACCAGATGTGGTGTTAAATCAAATGTGGACACTAAAACAACTTAAAGAAAATTTGAAATCACAAAATTTTCCCAAAATCAATAGCATCAAAGCATGACTTTTCAACTTTTTATTCAACTACTCCTCATGATAAATTACAGACCAGGTTTTTTTTTTTTGACATCATAGTCAGTCGCTTCTTCAATAAAAATGGAATTCGGAATTTTTATATCTTTTTTGTGGTCTTCTACAAAATTACTGTGTTAAAATCATCCATATCTAACACATAAGTACTCTGAAGTTGATATTAAAAAGATACTAGAGTTTCTCATTGAAAATATCTAGATATAGTCTTTGGATACTAGGTCTTCCAACAAACTGTTGGAGTTCCCACGACTTCATATTGTGCCCCTTTATTAGCAGACCTGTTTTTATTCTATTCTTATGAGGCAGAATTCATTCAAAACCTTCTACATGAAAAGAATGGGTCTCTTGATGTAACCTTCAACTCGACATTTAGATATATCGATGGCATTTAATATATAAAAATATTTTTCTTCATACTTTGATTTGATATATCCAACAGAAATCTAAATTAAAACACCACAAAGTCTGACGTGTGCTTCATATTTGGATGTTTTACTAGAGAAATATATTAATGGCAAACTAAGAACTAATTTTTTTATAGCATGTAAACGTGATGACTTCAACTCTTCTTCCGTAAAACTTTCCTTATTTATGTAGCAGTATAATTTATCACCTGCATTTGATATCTATTTCTCCCAGTTGATTCAACACGCAAGAGCATGTTCTGCGTACGATAAATTCCTAGACCAATGTAAACTACTTACAAATAAGTTGACGTTACAATCTCGTTTAAAGCCAACTTTTCGCAAATTTCTTCGGTCGACTTTCCTTATTTATGTAGCAATATAATTTATCACCTGCATTTGATATTTATTTCTCCCAGTTGATTCAACACACAAGAGCATGTTCTGCGTACGATAAATTCCTAGACCAATGTAAACTACTTACAAATAAGTTGACGTTACAATCTCGTTTAAAGCCAACTTTTCGCAAATTTCCTCGGTCGATACAATAACGTTTGCAAATACAGCCTGTCGTTAGGTTGAATATTGACTGACGCTTTTAATACAAATCGTTAGGTCATTATTTCCATACTGAACTGACTACGAATTTATCCGTTCACCCAGTCAAGACAAAGGGGTCACGATGTGCGTGACAAGTCGACAGGGAATGTTTACTCCTTCATGGCACATGATCCCAACTCTGAGGTTTTCAGAGGTCCGTGATTGCGCTGCTCTTACTCTATGTTAGTTATTTGGACTTTTGAGAATGATTACTGTTCATTATCTTGATATTTCATTGTAATATTTTGCAAATAAGATAGCAAATTATCTTAATTTGATTGTTTTAAGAGGGCTGGGTGGTTGTGGCCATTTTCAGACTATATTGATCTCCTTTAGAAGAAGAGCTCTATATAAAGATATACAAAAATGATCAAATTTTAAAACTAAAATGTATGAAATTTTTGTTTGCAAAATGATAGTTGACAGCTTAAGATATCATATCTAAAAAATTAAGTTATATCTGATGGTTAATTTGTTGACCCCCCCCCCAGCCTCCTTAACAAGTTTACCATCCATATGCTGACATTTTGGTTTCATAAAATGAAAAACAAAGCAAGATATTGGAAAATTGTTGTACTGTGTCATATAAAATTCAGAAAGGATCCAAGATAATCTCCTACATATTGATAATTCAGTTTTTGACCTTGAACTGACCAGCCAAGAAAATCAAACACAATAATATTTTTGTCCAAATTACTCCTTCACAAATGTCAGTCTACAAAATGTTAAATACTAAATGCTAAACATCATTAAAACATATTAACTCGCTCTGAAAATTGATGAAAATAAAGATTTAATGCATTTTTCTTGTTTGACTTTTTTCGGCCGTCTGTCTTTGAACTTTTTTTTCAAAATGAATGCTGTGTTGGAGTTCTAGCTAAATCATTTTCGCTCTTGACACATAAATGCAGAAAGTTTTATTACTGCTGTTTTTCTGATCTACGATCAATTGTTGGATAACACTTTCCCTGACATGGTGTTTTCTAAACAAGATTTTTTTTAGTTATAACGTTTATTATAAAAGTTTTCATGCACAATGCTCAGTGAAATTTGTTTTTCACAAACAAATAAATCAAAGCATCATTTTACATTCAAAGAAGCCATTTCATCGAATGACTGACAGGTACATTCAACACTTAATAAAAAACATTATCAAATAAATGTCACCGTTTGTTCTGTCCAGTTTATTTTTAATTTGTATGCTTCAAACACACAAAGGATTATCAGCGCATGTATCATAGATATGTTTCATCTCTTTTATGCTTCCAGCAGAGTTTGAATATCCTTGGAGTGTGAAAGCAATACCTTAATTACAAGACAGAGTCCTGATAAAGTTTAATGTCGGTGATGGCGTGATGATTATGCAAAATAAAATGAAACATTATTAACAAACATCCGGAAACTATTGGGTTTGTCCCTAATTAGAGCAAAGAATATAGTTGAAAGTAATCTTGTTAATAGCCAAAAATACGAGCAATGGTAAAAAATCAAATTACAAAATATACTTTTTTGTACATCTTTTAGTATTATTTCTATTGTGATTTTTTTCCCCAAAACAACTTTGGTTGTTCAATATTATTTTTCAATCGCACAATATTTAAAAATCTAGCTACAAGTTTTCTTAAATAGAAGCTGATACAAAACAGAATTCTAACCATATCCCCTTCAAGAAATTCCTACCGTTATGAGAGAGTTTATCTGCAATTATGTTGATACAATGACCTTGGCAGCAAATACAACCTATCATTAGGTCAAATGCTGACTGACATTTTTCATACTAATTGTTAGGCCATAATTTACTCACTGAATAATTTACTCTATGGATTTTTCCGTTTATCCCGATCATGACAAGGAGCACAAGGCGGGTGTGACCAGTCGGCGGGGGGTGCTTACTCCTCCATGACTACACTGTTAGTATAGTAGGAGTAAGAGTTCTAAAAAAGACTACATTTATGTATTTTTGGGAAAAAAAGGTTAATCATTCTTCTCAAGAACAACAGAATCACTTTAAAGAAAATTTGTTTTACAAGGAGACCTTTATTATAAACTCTTTTGAACATCGATCGAAATAAAAGATAAGTTCTCCGCCAATTTCATATTGCTTGTTTCAAATTCTGAATAGTTAGTTCAGTGTGTTTAACAAACCATGCTTCTCAGAAACAGATCGAATTTTTAAGATAGTTTGAATACTGTACAAACACATATTTTCGTTGGGTCAAATTTTCGAGGTTTGAGGAAAAAAATATTGGTTTGTGGAGATTTGATTTCGTGGTTGGAAAATGTTAAGTAGTAATGCTTATGAATATTTACATTTCGTGGTGGTCATAAATTCGTGGGTCTCTCCAAACCTCGAAAACAACGAAAATTAAACCCCAACGAAAATTAGTAATTTCACAGTAATAGACGTAATATGTTTCCTAGCTAAAACTTTAGAATTCCTTCCCCCCCCCCCCCAATTCTTTTTTATTATCATTTACAATCTTTTTATATACTCCAAGTAATAGTCAGTATCATTAACAATCACTTCAAAAGGTCGGGAAAGGATGGCTTCAAAGTAAAAATAGACGACAGAGATTAACGACTTCATAAACGAATCTCATTATCATGCCTAAGGCCTGTCACTTCGTGACTCAATACGACTACTAATATGCTGAAACTCAGCCATATTGCATCTTCAGTACTCGCCATTAATTCGATTTAAAATGATATTCATTGTCAATTAATCTTTCCTGTCAAAATGCTTATAAGGAAATTCAGATATTGCTTACTAGTATTTTGCTGCAAAAGATCTATTTGTCGAAAAAGAATAATACAAAAAAAGCAAAAATACGAAGGTCGTTCAATGAATAATGCAATAGGTCATCTTAAAGTAAGAAAAGTACGTAAGACATATTCGAAACATTTTCAATCCTTCAAAGCATTCCCTGTTATCCTTTAAACATTTCTTAAGTCTTTGTACCCATAACCAGAAACCCTCAGCATACTCATCTTTAGGGATGCCCCAAAGCCACTGATAAATATCACTTCCCATGACATATCTAATATTGTACAATCTTCCTTTGATTGTTTTCATGCGTTTTTGGAATAAAAAGATCTCATAATGGCTGAGATCTAGCGAATATGGGGGATGACAAAGCTTTGTAAACTTTTTTTTCTTCAGAATTTCATTTATTTCTCTATGCTTATTTGCAGCAACGTTGTCAGGTGCAAGAATATTAGCGTGGGGTGGTATTTGGACTTCCTTTGCAGAAAATCTGTTTATCTTTCCTCAGTACAATTTGAACATGAAAGTTACCATTGATTGTCCTTCCTTTGGGTGTATGTACATGTTTTACTGGACCTCTTGAAAAAAAAATGAAAACTAATAAAACATACTTAGAGCCCTTGTTTCTCTTAATATTATGATAAGAACGATATTTTTTTTCTGATTTCACATTTTATTATTTATCTTCCTTTTTGTCTATAAAAAGTGCACCCATATTTCGTCATCCATCACGCAAATTTAACAAATCTTCTATTTTGTTAAAATATTTGTTTTTAAATAGACCGTTGGTACATTTAATGAGTGTTTTCTCTTAGGCAATTTTCAGCGCTCGCTCCGTGATCGGAAGGTCGTGTGTTTGAATCACTGCCGCGACTGACCTAAGTCGATAAAAATAGGTAGCAACTGTTCCTTCGCCAAGCGCTCGGCACATTGGAGTGAAAGTTGCGGGTCCTTCGGATGAGATCTTAAAAACCGAGGCCCCATGGTCTCACGGTAGACGTTGGCACGATAAAGAACCCTCACTGCTCAATGGCCCTGTGTGCCGAGTAAAAGTCTAAATTTGAAGCCCTTCACCGGTATATGGTGACGTCTCTATATGAGTGAAAATTCTCGAACGGGACGTAAAACAACACACACAATCAATCTTAGGCAATTTTCAGAAAATAAGGCACTTATCGGATAGAAATATTATTATTTTCTTTTCCGCTATCAGAATTCTATAAAATGTTGTGATGATGAAATGCTTAGTGTCTTAGTAATGTCTTTTGATGTAAATCTGACATTTTTCAGATATCATATTGCACATAGCATCGATAATTTTTTTTGTCCCTACAAATTTCAATCGACCAGTTTGACTTTTGTATTTTAACTCTCCTTTTTTACTTTTGAATTTCTGAATCAATCTGAAAACTATACAGCGTTAAAGACTATTCTTTCCACATATAAAAATAATATCTTTAATATGAGTTATTCGACGATTTTTTGTAAAGAAGCACAGTTTTCACATGTACGCTCCTGGCACCCCGGGTGAGGTATATACAGAGGGCTTCTGCGGAAGTTTTGCCTCGATATTTTGTTGTATGTTATTGAAAATAAATATATTATTTAAAAAAAATAAAGAAAGATATCTCTTAGTTTAGTCTACTTTTGTACCAAGTAGAATTGAAAATGGACTTAATCTGTAGGAGAATTGTTAAAGAATTTCATAGAAATTTTTATTTTTAGACATGGAAACGCCATTTGTCGAAATCACTTATCAATAAAAAGATTGTATATTTTTTATAGTTAACCTCTGTAGAAAGTTTTTTTTTGTTTTGTTTTTTGTTTTGTTTTTTTTTTTAAATATAGAAGAAACGTTTTGCATCGATAATAGTATCATACATAATTCCATAATGATTTACAGAATATGATAACTAATAATATATTTAAATAATAGTTCCATTACCTTGACGGGAACACAGATGGTTACCAAAAGCAAATCCGCGGAAGCCAAACTAAGCAAAAAGACATTGGTCACACTATGGAGCTTCCGGAATCTTATCACGGACGCAATGACCAAAATATTTCCCGTGATTCCTATTACCAGTGTCAAACCATAAGCCACGGTGACCGGTATTAATTCCTCCAAGGGAAGAGTATGTGAATCTTCATAGTTATAGTGGTAATCTGAGTACAGATCAAAATAATGGTCCTCCTCTGTGATATTTTCAGTCATTGTGCTATTATTTAATGTGAATGACTCAAATGTCATTTTCAAACATTCTTTGACGATGTAGGAAAATTTTTCGCTTTGAAAAATTGACTTTTTACAAGTAAAAGTCCTGTAGACACTAAACCGAAGTTTATGGAATGAAGCTGTAAGTCATATTGATTACTTTTAGATCTCTCTTGCACAGAAATGAGTGGCAGAGATTTTCCTACACTTCTCTCATTTCATTTTCCCAATTTGGACTCAATGGTTTCAGTTATAGCTAAAGAGGCTCTATGCTTTCATTAGAACTCATCGACGAAATCCGATTAAGAAAAAAGTTTCACTTTATATTAAGAAATGTTCAAGTCCGTGATGCTCACTATATTAAAGTCTGACCAAATGATTACTTCTTCATGTATTGGCAACGAACTAATTTCCTGCGTACCGTTGATAAACTTTGATTGATTGATTATTGTTTTACGTACCTTTCGAGAATTTTTCCCTCGTATGAAACTCACCATATACCGGTGAAGGGCTTCAAATTTAGACCTTTACCTCGTCACTCACGCCTATCGAGCGGTGCGGGTTCCTTGTCTTGCCAACGCCTACCGTTTAAATGGAACCTGGTTTTTAAAGTCTCGACCAAAATACCCGTTGTTTCATTTCTAGTAATAGTCACTATTTATTTTAACGTCTCAGGTTTGACACGGCACCGCGAACGAAAATCGCACCTGGTACCTCTTGATCACGAAGCGATTACCCTACCACTAGGCTACTGAGACCCTAGATAAACTTTAAAATGTTCATTCAAATGAATGCAGTACAACCTTGATATCACTGCCACGAATTATTTTTTAACCTCTCTCAAAAGGAGGAATTAACATTATTGAATAAGGAAAAAAGGCAAAGTATGACGAAGACGCATTTACCTAATCCGGTATCAGATAATCCGATCCCCATGTCTACTCTGAAGGTTTAGGAAATGACAAATATTCTTGCCCAATCTAAAATTGCATGTACGAGGGGTTATCAAAAACTTCGTGGACTAGCGTCATAAAATTAAAACCGGTTGAGATACATCAATAAAGAACTATATGCGCTATATGCATATTTTTGCCTCCACAAAAGTCATATTTTGAAAATTGCTTGAAATGTGCTGAATTGTATATATTATATGAAAAATATAAATTAAGAAAAAATATTTATATTTTCAAATATTTTCTATGACGTCACAAACTATTCGGATTTTGTGTTATTTTTCAGAAAGAGGAAAAAATGGACAAAAATTGTTCAATTTTTACTATAAAATTTATAGAGCGCAGGCCTGCTCCCGAACAATATTTAAATATTTCATTGATATTACCATTCTACACATTATATCAATCTATTGAATTGTAGCAGACCTGCGCTCGGTGACTTTTACTTAAAATATCGACATTATATACACCTTTTGCTGAATAAATCATGAAAATTCTGAATTTACGTCATATACCTGACGTCATATCTAACATATGGCGTCATGGCTTATAAAAATATTCATTGCTTTGAAGTCTTCAGATATCCCCATGTTTCAAAACATAATTATATATTTCTCCGTCAAAGTTTGATTTTGGGGGCAAATATTGGTCATTACCCAATGTAGTCCTTTATAAACAATAAATAAGCATCTTATTTTCTATCTGTAAAATAAACTATAAACCAAAAATTTTATTTTTTAATGAATTGTTAATATTTTTGTAAGCAATGGTAAGTGTAGGCGGCGCAACCTCGAACATGACGTATTTTCTACTTGAGTGTACTTGAGAAAAACTCTTCTGATATGAGCATTTGTCATCCGAAAATCCCATTCATTCACTCATGTAATATGACACAATTGTTCAGTAAAAGTTGCAATTTTTTCCTTATTCTGTATATTCTATGAAATTTAATCGTATATTTTATATGGAATGTCCAAACTATAAAGGGGTTAAAATGACGTCAAAAAGGGGTGGGTGGGTGTAATTTTACAACATTCTTAAAAGTGTCAGCCCCTGAAAACCTGGCATACACCTAGAAAATGTTTAAACAGGCTACAGAGAAATAAAATGCATCCAGAGTATGTTTTTAATACCAAAAAAGAATCAGCGAGAGAAGAGACACAAAGTTAATGTCAAATTTGTAGTCAGGGTGACCAAAGTAAGTCTCGTCGAAAAGTGACGCTGATCATATGGTTGATATTGAACTCCGACAAGAAAATTATGTTGGCATAATCAAGCAAGGATCTTTCCCTATGTATAGATTTATTAATGCATTGTAATCAGCTGTTCACGACATTGTAAAGTCATATAAACAAGACGGGTTTAGGTCTTTACTTAACTCCAGAGAATCTCATTAAGATAAGTGTATTGAGGTAGAGGGAGTGGGCTTTGAGAAATAATGACTTGTCGGACGTCATGAAACTAAACAGCGATTTAAATTTATTAGTACATTTTACCAATAATCTTTCGATATATAAAAATATATACAATTATCTAAGGAATGAATTTAATGGCTACCCAATTTATACGGTATAAAGTGGGTCGTGGCAGTTTACGCTTTATAAACCGCGAAGCGGTTTATAAAGAAGCGTAAACTGTTCCAACCCACTCTATTCCGTTTCATTTGGGTAGCTATTAATTTCATTCCTTATAATTTAATTTTTATTCATTTAGTTTAAGAAAAAAGATGATTGCCCTTAAAAAATGACTTCAAATTGTACAAAATTTAAATGTAACGTCAGGCGGATCGATACGTTTTTGACGCGTCATTGTAACGTAGGCAACCCAATTTATACGATATATGGTAATTTTTTTATCCAATCAAATGGCGCGTTACATCAGAATTAAATTATTCAGTTACCACAACTTATTTCTTTTATATCACTTAAATCAAGTTTTGATCGAATAATTCACCAATGACGTTTTATGAAATAAATATACGATTGCTTGTCAGTTTCATTAAAAATCGCCAGTAACTTAAATCCGCCTACCGGAGCCACCATCGTACTCTCTTTTTATGCCCCCGGATCGAAAGATCACCCTCCTTTGGATACCAACCACTTTGACCTTGACCTAGGAGTTTGATCTACTTTTGAAAAACTTTTACCTTGGCCATAATTTTTTAATGGTTGGTGCTAGAGGTTTCATACTTTACATATGTAATCCTTGTGACAAGACTTTCCTTTGGATACCAACCACTTTGACCCTTTGACCTTGACATAGGAGTTTGACCTACTTTCGAAAAACTTTAACCTTGGCCATAACTTTTGAATGGTTGGTGCTAGGGCTTTCATACTTTACATATGTAATCCTTGTAACAAGACCTTTCATTGGATACCAACAACTTTGACCTTGACCTTGATGTTTTACTTACTTTTAAAAAACTTTAACCTTCGCCATAACTTTTGAACAGTTGCAGCTAGGGCTTTCAAATTTAACATTTTTTATCTTTTGGCCTGGATTTTGACTTGCATTTGAGAAACTTTAACCTTCGCCATAAGCTGCCATACGAGGGCATCAGTGTTTCGCAAACACATCTAGTTTCTATTTCAGGGATGCTTATCGAAAATGAAAGTAGACTTTAATTAAATGAACGATAAATTACTATGCGAGTGAAATATAAATATACTAGTAGTTTACGGACGTCACCTCATACCTAGTGTATTCTTAGAGGAGTAAGTATGGTGCAGGCGTTTCGAAGTTTATTTGCAGTTAATTTATAAATATAGATACTACATATATACCGGAGTATATTGCCCCCCTACCCCCAGTTTCTACGGCCATGCAGAATATTGTTGGTTTGAATAATATGAAAAAGTTGTGAATTTACATTCATATGCCAGAATTTAGAAAGAGTACATATCAAGTTTTCTTTGTATAAATCATTTTATTACATTTTCAACAGTGAAATACTGTGATTTATTTATTGAATAAAAGTTATATTCTGTCACGGTATGAAAGGATACCAAAGTGACTATTCTGTCAAACTGTGAAAGGATATCAAAGTAAGTAAAACATAATTTCTGGCCTGTCATAAAATAGAGATAGTAGCTAAACCATCTTGATAGAGACTAAAACTGCCAATTTCTTCCCAAATATACAATGTTTTCAATCTCACAATCGCTAAGCTATGACGTCTCAACTGCTCAACAATGACGTCATAAAAATCAAAGAAAACGTAATAAACAGAAAATTCAATTTTTGTAGTTGGATACGGAATTTATTTCACGAGTGGGACAAGATTTTTTTTATATTTTCACGAGTGCGAAGCAACTACAAAACATTGAATATCATCTATATCTCGTAGCAAATATCAGCATTTTTATATCAGAAAATATTTTATTACATTTTAATAAAAACAAATGTTGATGCTATAAACAAGAAAATAAAACAAATTTGATAAAACAGAAACATGTATTAAAAAGTTCTTCCTGTCAATTGCTCGACAAGGGTGCCATATTAATAGCTTTCTCTTATCTTATATCATTCAGTTTCTTTTATTTCCCGATCTTTGAGAACTTTTAAGACTACATTGATCTCCTTCAATCATTCTTTTGATGAAACAGATAGGTTTGTGCCTGAGCTTCAGTCGTATAGACTTATTGGTTATATCTTTACACTAATCGACAAAAGGCGTCCAAAATAACATAGAAAACATTCGTCAATGAATGTACTGTTGAAGAACAAGAATATAATGAGCATTGTTGCATGATGTTCCTTTCATGATTAAGTGGTATTTCACACAGTTTTCCTATTCGTGGGAAAGTGACTTTTATCATTAGATGAGATCTTTGCATTTAAAGAGCATCCGCTCACATTAATGTTTATAATTATTTTTTTAAAATAAAGAATTGTGATGCTGCCTTTTAACAATCTCAGTCTATCTATTTTTGAGTTGTTTACCCGGTATTCATTTCTGATAAATTTGTGGCCTTCATGATTTGAAAATAATACAAAAGAGTAACTTTATTCAATTTAAAGTAATGATTGATATATATAATGCGTATTTGTCTATGCATACGTTTTACAGCAAGAATCACTTGATGAACTTTTAAAAAAAAACATCTGATAAATCAAATG